AAGAAAATCACCGTTGGGCGCTCCCCTCCTGCCTGCCTACTCCCGCCCCCCCCCGCATGACCTCTCCCCTGCCTGCTCACTCCTCCCCCTATGACCTCTCCCCTGCCTGCTCACTCCCCCCATGACCTCTCCCCTGCCTGCTCACTCCCCCCCCATGACCTCTCCCCTGCCTGCTCACTCCTCCTCCATGACCTCTCCCCTGCCTGCTCACTGCCCCCCCGCGTGACCTCCGCTCCTACCTGCTTACTCCCCCCGAGCCCCCCCACCTTGACCTCCCCTCCTGCTTACTTAGCCCCCTGTGATGCGTCTGCTCCGGAATCACAAGTCTATTCCCACAGAAGTCTCTGCCTCGGGCTCTGCTTGCTGAGAACAAGGGACGAGACCCCCAGCAGGTATGTGGGTCCCACATCCCAGGTCTTGGGCATCCAGAGTCCGTGTCGGCCCCGAGCCTGGGCACACGCGTCTGCCTGGACGTCCACGTGTGAACTTCTGGGGGTAAAGGTGAGGAGCGGCTCCAGCAGGAAGATGCACCGGGTACCGCTAACTGCCGCTTTTCTCCTCCTTTCCCTCTAGGCCGAACCCCCAGGGTGTTTGGTAGAGGAAAAGCCCCTTTATAAACGATCGCTTCCCACAGACGGCAGCACACCAGGCGCGATGCTCACCCCGCCCGTCCTCCGGGAAACGCGGCTCAAAACCACGAGGCACCGGTCGCACCTGTCAGGACGGCTGAACTCAACAACACAGGAAACAACAAGTGCTGGTGAGGGTGCGGGGAGCGAGGCCCTCGGCCCCTGTTGACTGGACGCAAACTGGTGCGGACCCTGTGGAGAGCGGTGTGGGGCTCCTCAGAAAGGTAAAAATGGAGCTAACCTGCGATCCGGCAGAGTCACTACTAGGTATTTACCTGAAGAACACAAAAATATGAATGCAAAGGGGTACAGGCATCCCTGTATTTACTGCAGCATTATTTACAATAGCCAAATTATGGAAACAACTAAATGTCCATGGACTGATGAATGGATAAAGAAGAAATTATACACACACACACACACACACACACACACACACACACACACACAAAGGAATATTAGCCATAAAAAGAACGAATTCTTGCCATTCACCGTGACATGGATGGAGCCAGAGAGTATAATGCTAAGAGAGAAAAAAGTCAGAGAAAGACAAATACTATAGGATTTCACTCCTATGTGGAATTTAAGACAAAAAACAAATGAGCAAAGGGAAAAGAGAGAGAGACAGGGCGGGGCATCTGGGTGGCTCAGTCCGTTGAGAGTCTGACTTCAGCTCAGGTCATGATCTCCCAGTTCATGAGTTCAAGCCCCGTGCTGGGCTCTGTGCTGACAGCTCAGAGCCTGGAGCCGCTTCGGATTCTGTGTCTCCCTCTCTCTCTGCCCTGCTCCTGCTCACTCTCTCGCTCTCTCTCAAAAAATGAATAAACATTTTAAAAAATTAAAAAGACAGAGACAGGGGCGCCTGGGTGGCTTAGTCAGTTAAGCGTCCGACTTCGGCTCAGGTCATGATCTCACGGTTCACGGGTTCGAGCCCCGCGTCGGGCTCTGTGCTGACAGCTCGGAGCCTGGAGCCTATTTCAGAGTCTGTGACTCCCTCTCTCTCTGACCCTCCCCTGCTCGCGCTGTCTCTCTCTCTCTCCTAGAAATAAATAAAACATTAAAAAAAATAAAAAATAAAAATAAAAAGACAGAGACAAACCAAGAACCAAACTCTTAACCACAAAGAACACACTGATGGTAACCAGAGGGGGCGGGTGGGGGGACGGGGGGACAAGGCGATTGGGATTGAGGCACCCGCTTGAGATGAGCACCAGGTGATGTGCAGAACAGTAGAATCACTATATTGTACACCTGAAACTAACAGAACACTGTATGTTAACTACATTGGAATTAAAATAAAAACTTTAAAAATTTTAATAAGTAAATAAAGGGAGATTTGGAGGTTGGAAGGAAAAAGGATGGCTTCCCCTCCAGCCAGGGTGGCCATGTGACCACACACATGACGAGATGCGGCGGGAGGATCTGGCACAGGCTTCTGAAGAAACACTTTGAAAGGCCAGTCCCTTTGGATCTTTGCTCTTCCTGAAGGCTGCCGACCTTGACCCTGTGTTCTGGCCGGAACGTGCAAGTGGTAAGGGTGCGCAGTGGCTCTCAGGCTGT